AAGAAAGGGTGAGGTGGAGCCTGGAGCTGAGCACAGGCAGGGGACCTTCATCCACGACATCTAACCAGGAGTCCCCGGTTACTGCTAATGGCCCTGACCTCTGTGGAGACCAGGAAATGGCCCAGAGACCACAGCCAGAGGATCATTCCGTTTGTGAAAAGTTCACTGGGACCAAAGCCTTTCAGCATCTCCCAGATCACTTTTAAAATGCAGATTTTTATCAACCAAGAGGGAAGCTGAATGAGTAGTTAGCCCAGGGGCAAGGGGGCAAGGGAAGAGACCCCAACACCAAACCCTCCCCCCACCCCCAGACCCACGCAGCAGCAGTCAGGTACTGACTAATGTGTCCGCAGGATGAGTCACGTTTGATCTCACCCTGCAGGAGACCAGCAAAACCCAGTCTCTCCAGAAGGGCCCCAAGTCACCAGGGGAAGCAGACACGGGCTCGGCTGGACCTTTGGGAATTTTCTCTTTAGACAAGTGTACCACAATTTTCCATCATTTTTATATGATACCAAGGAGCCAGCAGGCACATTATGTTTACCTGGATGACAAGGTCATTGCAGGCATTTGGAGCTATTGAACACTTGCACTCTTGAAAAGAATAATCCAGAGAATTTGTAAATAACACACATACGAGAGGACTCAGAAAAATTCAGCAAGGCCAGGTGCTATGGTGCACGCCTGTAATCCCAGTGGCTCAAGAGGCTGAGGCAGGAGGATGGCGAGTTCCAAGTCAGCCTCAGCAAAAGCAAGGAGCTAAGTAACTCAGTGAGACCCTGTCTCCAAATAAAATACAAAATAGGGCTGGAGATGTGGCTCAGTGGTTGAGTGCCAAGTTTAATCCCTGGTTACCCCACCCCCCAAAAAAAGATAAACTCAGTAAGTTCCAAAGCAAAGCACAGTCCCAACACAGGGAAATGAAATATTAAAATTCATAGCTCAAGAATTATTTTTAGAAATCAGACTTGGTGGAAATTTGAAAAGTTTCTTCCATATGACTCTTGAGATAAAAAAGGGAATGCAAAAGGAAATTCTGTGCTAATTAGATGTTTTGTGCTATTTCAATGTTAGGTAAAATGAGAAGATTGTACACTACAATTTGAGGATGCAGCCAAAGCAGTACGCAAAGGCAAATTCATATCCACAAATACACCTAAAAAGTACAAAGTGACTGAGAGATTCTTTTAGCCAGAAAGTTGACTTTTTCACTAAACAGCCCTTAGTAAAGTAGGAATTTCTAAGACTATCTAGTTGTCTAAGTTTCCTTAAAAGTTATAAAATAGAAAAATCGTTAATACATGGTTTTCCCTCCTAAAACTCTCCATCTCCAAACATGAATATGATGATGGAATTTTACAACTAGTCACAGATGCATCAATAAGTAATAGTCCCCTACTTATAGTGGTTCCACTTAATAATTTTTTGACTCCCCACTGGTGCAAAAGCAATATGTACTTAGTAGAAACTGTATTTTAAAATTTGAATTTTGAGGGCTGGGGCTGAGGCTCAGTGGTAGAGCACTTGCCTAGCATGTGTGAGGCACTGGGTTCGATTCTCAGCATCATATAAAAATAAATAAATAAAATAAAGGTCCATTTGCAACTAAAAAGTATTTAATTTTTTTTTAATTTTGTGCTTTTCCTGGGCTACTGATAAACCGTCCCATAATGTCTTGTGATGCTGGGAAGCCACAATGAGCTGCAGCTCCCGTGATCAGCCGCGAGATCACAAGGAGAAAAAACCTGATACAGTGCTATATACAGTGTGCCACACTATGACATTTGGTAGGTCAGATGTTTTAAATTCATTTTTTGCTAAGTGATACTTTCCATTTACAGTGGGTTTATCAGACCCTGACTCCACCTTCAACCAGGGGGTCCTCAGGATCACTGTCTCCATGAGATACAGAAGGTGAGCTAGGAAAAGGCCCTGGGGCCCGGGAGAACCCTCCCTCCTGGTTCCCTTCTCATTCCTGGACTCATTTCCCGGAAGTCTCCAGATGTGTACTGGAGAGAAGATCAAAGGAGGCCAAGATTCTAGGCCCTGCCCTTCTCCTTCTAGGTCTGTGGCCGTAAGTCACTTAATGTCGATGGAGCGGTCAGCTTTTGCCCTGACTATGCTGTCCTCCAAACAAATAGCCCTAGATGCTCAGAACTTCCTACAGAGGCATTTCTCCTCCCTGGTCCACAGCTGGACTGCGATTTGGCTGGCGAGGCTGCGCTCTCCCCAGTCACCTGGCTTCAGGTGTGGGGGGGTGGAACCTGTCTCCACGCTGTGGGCTGAGCTCCAGTCTGCACAAGGTCTCCGCTTTCCTTTGGGACCAGAAGCTCAGTAGGGTATTTTGTCATGACAGATCACAAATGTGGCAGAGGACAAAAGAAACCACAATAATCTCCAAGGACCTCCTCTTAATAGGTACATTAGCTCTCTATCCACATTCCACTGGTCAAAACAATTCATATGGCCAAGGCCAAAGTCAGTGGGATGGGAAAATTTTTTCTGCCCTGGAAAAATGGAAAAATGTTGAACAGTGATCCAAGGAAAGTTCCTACACAGAGGAACCTAAGGGTACCTGCACCCTGTGATGGTTGACTGTATGCATGGGCTACAGCCACTGCCCAGCCAAAGCAATACTCCAAGGCAAATTCATATCCACAAACACACCTGGAAGGTTTTAATACCTACGAAAGAAACATATTCTTTTAATAGAAAGTTGACTTCCTCATTTAGTAGCTCTCAGCCAATGCCACGGAATCCTTGGGGCTGTTCCTTGACTGAGAAGAGTTGGATCCTGCGTCAGGAAGGTCTCCACAAAACCCACCTTTGGTGGTACACATCCCTGTTCACACACATCAGATACAGATTGCTGAAGCCCCACTAATACGTTTGTGACAAGGAGCCCCGGGACCCCTCCTGTGCCACAAGCACGGCTGGCATTGTAACTTTTATCCGATGCCTTGTCAGCCCTGTTGGAATCGGGTTTGTTCTGGCCCAAGAACAGCTGGTCTGTGTGCTCGTCCAGAACCCCAGACGAGGAGGCCTCACAGACTTGTTCTCCAGGTGGGTCTTGGGACCACTCCCCACGGGCCCGTTCAGGAGACACTGGGTGCAGGAGAGCAGAGCTGTTCGCATTTGGCTTCTGGGAAGGAAAAGACGGGGGCTCCAACTCCAGCCTGCCGCTTTCTGACTTTGTAAATCCTCCATGCACCAAGCTCCCCCACCTGGGAAACGGGTCCATGACGACACCCCGTGACTGGGATTCACGCTTCTCCACAAGGGTCTCTAGAAGAGCTCTGGTCTGCAGAATGGGCACGATGCAAACCCTTGATGGGTGTTTGAAAAGCCCTGTGCCATGAAGCCTGGGCACACGGCCCAGTGAGCACTCAGTTCTCAATAAAAAAAATGGTCCCCTTTCCCTTCTCTAAGCCCCTGAAATACTGAGTAGGCTACCTTAACCAACCTACATGTCACCAACTGTGGAATAAGGAGATATGTTGTGTGACGTGCCTGCCTATAAATGTTCACTAGTCTAAAAACCCAGCCCTTCTCAAATCTAAGAGGTCATCAACAGTAAGATGTCAGATATGGGGATGAGGGTGCTTTAGAATAGATTAAATTCAGTGTGTGATACTACAGATGAGAGATCAGGCCTTGGTATAACTCAGTGGTTGATCGCACGCCCAGCTAAGAACATTTTAGTTTATTTTTGCCTCTAAAAATCAGTCGAACCTCCTCTTGTGCATTCTTCAAGGCTTTTGTGCCTACAACAAAGCTGTAGAGTCCCTGAAGTGGGTCATCTGCCTGCTGAGCACATCTGAGGACTACATTTCCCAATCTCCCTTGCACCTATGTGCTTCATGTGACTCACTGCTGGCCAATGACAGGGAGGAATGCTAATGAAGGCATCACAGTAATACATCTGTGTTTACTGTCTTCAGACCTTCCTGCCTCCTCTGTCTGCCCTCTGGGTTGGTAAAACCACACAGTGAGAGGATCCTGGAGCTGGAGGACAGGGTTTGATCTACATGGAATTGGAGCATGAGAAGAAAACACACTTGTTCTGGTCAAACCTCTAAGATTTGGGGCATTATTTGTTACTGCGGCAAAGCATAGTCAACTCTCACAGACTTTTATAAAAATCACTGCCTTTTGTGGCGGGGGGAGGGGGGGCACAGGGATTGGACCCAGAGACCCTTAACCACTGAGCCACATCCCTGGCCCTTATTTGTTTGTTTGAAACAGGGTCTCACTAAGTTGCTCCCAACTTGCCATCCTCTGGCCTCAGCCTCCCAAGTGGCTGGGATCACAGGCGGGTGTGGCCGCACCCAGCTCACTGTCATTTCCTTCTGAAAGAAGCAGTGAGTCTAACCATGTTCTTGGAACCTCAGGAAACCAGGAACTGAGGAAGGGAGATGAGGCTCCCTTCAGGCGGGGCCATGGCAGGTGACCCTGTGGGAGCAGCCAGAGGCAGAGCACTGGACAGTGAGCCCCTGCTGCACAGATGAACCCCAGCAGCAGAGAACCCTCGCTGGTTCCCCGATTTCCACAAATCCTGGCCCCGGAGTCCCAGAGGCCGCCTTCTACCTGGTACTGAGAAGGCACTGGGAGCCACCCATTTTACCACATCCTGAGGCCAGTTCTGGGGAAAAGTAGTGCCCACCTCACTCACAGACCACCAGGCTCTTCTCGGTAAGTCTCTCCCACCCCTCTCAGCCCCTTTGCGTCACCCCTCGGTTCCCTCATCTACACCCTCCTGAGGCCAGGGCTGCGGCTTTGGGAGGCCAAGTAGCTGGGGCGTGGGGGTGTGGCTTAGAGGCCAGGGGTGTCCCCCACAGGAGAGGGCCACAGCCCAGCCTGGGACGCGTTCCTGCCTCTGAGCCTGTTTCCTCATCGGCATGGCAAAGGCCGCGAGGGCACCTGAGCCCCCCGAGGGGCCGGGGGTGCCCTGCCCGCTGCCCCTGCCCAGCACCAGGTCCAGAACGGAAATTCTACTCGGCCTCTTTTTTGCTTTTTAATTAAACAAGATTGGGAAGGAGCCTGGGGACAGCTGAGGACGACCCACGGCCCAGGCCCTGCCGGCCGCGGCCTCTTCACGCAGGGCCGCTCAGACTTGAGAAATGGGTTTTGAGCTCTCGAAACAGAAACTCTGCTTTGTTCTGTGGAGCCACATTAAAAATTCAAGTTGTGGGGAGCGGGAGACGGGGAGCCCCCGCCTCTGCAGACTGCGGGAGGGTTCTGGCCCCAGAGGCGCTCAGCGGGACGCCTGGAGGGGACCTGCCCAGGGGAGGACTGGGGACCCTCTGCCGGCTGCCCTCCTCGGGCTTCCTTTGTCACCCTCGTGCAGACTTGTTTATTTTTTTGCTTACTTCCTTTTCCCATCTGGAAAGCAGGAAAGGGCTAAGAGGGCAGGACCGCCATGCTCCAGGGTTCCATCCCAGCACTGCAGAAAATGATTGATAGACAGATAAATAAATAAATAAATAAGACATCTCTCTCCAGCTCGGACCACAGGCTCTTACCGCTGCGGTGGCCGAGGCATGCGTGTTCCCTGATTCAGAGCTTCCCTTCTATGGGTCTCAGTTTACTCAAATGGGGGTTACAGAACTACCCACCTGGCTCGGTCATTTTGAGGATTAATGAAAAATAATTCGCGTTCAAGCGAGTCCTGGTACAGTGGTGTCTACAGTCGTTATTCGCTGAGTAGGGAGTTGTGGGGTGCAGGCAGTGCAGTCACCCGCCCCCACCGTGCAAATGAAAAATAAAATTCTAAGATTCAGTTCCTAAGATCCAAAGAGCTTCTCACTCCTTAGAAACTCCCAGTGGAGCCGGCAAGGGGACAAAGGTCTGCACTAAGTGAGTTATAAAAACAACTCCAAGCCAGGGACTGCAGAGCTGCCCCCCACCCACCCACTCCTTGCACACACCCACCCAGGCTGCCTAGGATTAACCCCGGCCTGCCCAGCCTGTGCAGCTTCAGGAAGGATTTGGAGAAAGGAGAAGAGGGAGGGAAGTTTCCTGTTTTGTGTGCCACTAATCCAGTGCTCCTTCTAGTCACCTGATGCGCAAAGCACCTCCTGGAGGAGGGTGACAATAGACCCAAGGGAGGCAATGCACAAGACCCAGGGATGACACCCATCAGGGGCTGACATCCCCTCTCCTGGCCCCCTGCCCCACTCTCTGTTAGACCACCCAGATGTCCAAAGCACTGAGCAGCTCCTCCATCCTCCACTCCAGCAAACTTGCCATAAAGACTCCGGCTAAGCCCTTGGCAGACATCACTAATCAATTGGGGCACCTGTTAGATCCCAGAGCTCCTGGCAGATGCTACCAGTTGATCAGACCTGGCCCAGAAGATAAAAAGGCTCCCCAGCCCAACGCTGGGCAGTGAGACATGTGTGGCATCTCCCTGTAGCTTGGCCAGCCCTCAGCCCATGAATGAATGAGGGAATGAGTGAGCAAATGTATGCCCAACAATGCCAGGAGCCCAGAGACCTAGACCAAGCGGTATCTGCAGTCTACGCAACTCCATCTACGAGTTCAGAATCACACATGAACCCACCTGGGCCAGTGTCAGGGTGTGGTCCTGCAGGACTGGGGGAAAGGGCTGCCCTGGATCTGGAACCAGCCTTGCTCCCGGTGCCCACCGGCCACAGGCCTTCCTGAGATGCAGCCCAGAGCTCCCACATCCAAGACCCAATGGCCTCCCTGCCTCAGAAGGGACGCAACAGTTGACCCTGTGCTGGCCAAAGCCCAGGTGTCAGTCCTCCCACAGCAATTCACACTCAACCCAAGAGACAGGACATTGGGGCAGTTAGAGGCTGAACTGGGAAGCAGGACATCTGAATTCCAGTTCTAGCTCCTGGCCAGTTCTCTAAGGTCTCTGGACCTCAGTTTACCCATCTGGAAATTGGGGAGAGGGAAGCCTGGACTCTAGGACCCTTCTAACACTAGCAATGCCTTCTGCGCAGTTGTGTTCATTGATCCACTTATTCCACAAGCATTTATTGAGTACCTACTGTGTACTGGGCCCTTTGCTAAGCCCCTTGCTGATCTCTGCCAGAAGGCCCTCCCCCTCCTTGGTCTCCAGGTCTTGGCTCCCCACAGGAAGCTTCCTGGGCCAGCTCTGGGGTCCCTCCCACCCCCTCCAGGCTCCAGGCAGTGCTTCTAATCAGGCTTATCACTCCACATTGTTCATCTATCTATCCTGTCTGTTTCCCTGAGAACTGTGACTTTCCATCTTGTTCCCTCACCCATTTCCAGGGACTCCAGAGGAGGGTTCTGGAAACATTTCCCTGGAGAACAAACACATGAATGCATGTGTGAAGCCCAGGTCTCTCCCCCTCCTCCCAATACGAAGCCCCCAGTTCAGCGCTTTGCTTCTGCTCCTGTCCCCAAACCAGTCCCTGGGAGCCACTGGGCGAAACCCAACCTTCCCAGCCACACCACGGCCCCAAGCCTGGGTGACCAGAAGGTGGCCACAGGTATCTGTGCACTTGAAAGATCTCCTGGCTCTGAGGTGGGGCTGACACCCCCTGGGGCTTGACCAGAGCCCAGGTCCCCAGCAGTCCCCGCGCCCTGCTCCCTGCTGTCCCAGCAGACACTTGGTAAATACTGGGCCATTAATTAACTTCCTCCGGGAGCAGTGACTCAGGCCAGACCTCCCCAGCTCCAGGGGGAAAGGTGAGCACCCCAAACTTGTGCAGGTGCCCAAACAAAAAGGCCAGCCCTTCATCTCGAAAAGCCTCATCACCCCCTTGACAGGGTACAGATGGATTGCTGCGCCCCAGTGTGTGCACAAGACCCCCCCAGCGGCGCCCTCCATGAACCACGGTGCACACAAACAGGGGAGCGACTCGCCCAGCCAATGAGCACTTGTGGTTCCTGCGGGGAGCCCTAGCCGCACCCTCCCAGCCCCCCACGCAGCCCACTGTCCTATTGGCTCCTTTGGTGGGCTGCGAGAGCTCCCCTGCCCAGGCCACCCCAAAAAAGATCAAGAGGTTTTATCAAGCTAGACAACGGCTTAGCCCTCCCTGCTGGCCACCTCTGGATTCCTTGGGAGAGGCCACGGGAAGAGCAGGGCAGACTGACCACTTCTCAGCGGGCCCAGGGAATGCAAGGCCCTAAGGAGCTCCAAACTTGCTTCATGACAGTGGATGGATCAGAGATTAGGAAGTACCAAGAGGAGTTGCCCAAGTGAGGAGCCTGGCCCCCTGCCCACTATCCACTCCCACCCCACCCCACCCCGTCCTCTAGGTGCACCTGCAGAGTCAGGTTGTGGGGTACAGCTCAAGAATGGATGACAGAGGACTGAGCTCAGGCTGACTCTTGCTTCTGTGGGGCTCTGGCAGGCCTGGCCTCACAGCAGGTGGTTGGGGGCCAACAATCAAGGGCACATTCACCAAGAGCTGAGCCCAGAGAACCGGGCTCAGCTCCACTCACAACAGAAGCTGACTTTCAGGAACCTGCTGACATGGGTTCAAATCCTAACAACTCCAACTAAAACTGTCTTACTGTTCCCAGTAAATACTGGGCAAGAAAAGAGTGAAGGCCACACTACCTCCCGGGCCCCAGGCTTGTCTGTGGCAGGCCCATGTCCCTGGCTGGAAGTCGGACAAAAGTTACAGATTCACTCCACATGCTGGTGACATCTCAAAGGTGAACTTCAAACATAAATAAATGAAGCCTTTGTGTGTCTTTGAAATGGGATTTAAAGAAATATAGGGCAGTGTAGTTTTATTCTTACAGGTATCACCACGTGAGCAGGTTCCCCAGCCCTGGGTGTCCCTGTCACCAGATCACCACTCCGAAGTAAATAAAATGTGCTTGCTCAGCAATTCCCCTATAAGTTAATCCTGGCTTCCCTGGGAATGGCAGAGAGAGGTGCTACTGGTCCCTGGGGTCTTGGACCAGTTTGAGAATGACCTCAGAAGGCATGGGAAGGACAGGGCACTGCGCCCAGAGCCCCGCAGTCTTGGGCAAATTCCTTACATTGTCAGTGTCCAAGTTTCCTCATCTGAAAAATGGGCAAACACCCTGACTTCTTTTTTTCCACTCTTGACACCTGGCACTGAGAATGTGCTGGAGAATTGTTTGAAGAAACAAACTGTGAGAATTCTTAGGTTTAAAAGGAGACCCCGAGACTGCAGGATGGGCTGGCTGGGTCTCTTGACTCTCACCTAGGGACAAAGAATGTACTGAGGAAGGTCCAAGGAACAAAGAGATTCAGAAGAACCCCAAGTAGGATGTGAAACAACAGGAAGTGGCCTCCCCTACCCCAGCCCCAACCTCTCTCAGGACAGGTCCTTCTTATCTCTCCTGGTCTCTGAGGACCCAGTTCACCCACTTCTGGACCCCTGCTCAGGTAAGGAGAGAGCCTCAGGAGCTGCCGTGCAGCCCGGATCTGGCACCAGTCACCCCACTGCCCCTCAGGCCTAGAGCCGCCAGAACCCGCTGCCCTGTCCCTCTCTTCTCTGTCGCTGACCCCAGCTGGGAGATGGTGGACCATGGATAGCTCAGGATATGAAGGAAAACAGTCCCCAAAACTTGTCATGAGCTCCTCTGCCTTGGGGACACATGAGGGTCTGGAGCTCAGGGTCCTGGTCCCTGTCTTAGCTCTGTCCCCAGGAACTGGGTGCCTCCCAAGTCATTTCACACCTCCAACCTCAGGCCCCTCCTCAACAATAAAGGCCTTTCTGGAAAGGGCCTGCTCCGTAGAAGGCACATAAGAATTGTCCCTATTGTCATTAGTTAGACCAGAAGAGAAGCGGTATAGAACTGGTGGTTAGGAAGCTCAGGGTCCTCTCAGAACCTGGGCCCTCGGCCGCAGGCAGGTCCTCAGCTCCCTGGGCGGGCCTGGGTGCTTCTCCATCCGAGATCAAACTTCACCATCCTTGGGTTTCCGAGGTGGCTGGGCATTGCGCGAGCATTCCCAAAGCCCTGGGCCCAAAGAGTCAGGAAGTCATTCTCTGCGGTGAAAGATACCTCCAAACCTCTCTCCCTCGAGGGGCCCCCAGTATCAAGCAGCGGCCCCACAAGCCTCTTGCAGAGACCTTGGCTTCCCCTGGTCACCCGGGGGCGGGCAGGTGAAAAAGAGAAGGCGCCCAGTGCCGGTCAGTTGGGGAGCCGCGCGCACCTGCCGCAGGTGAGGCCCAACCGTGCGGAAGGAGGAGGAGCCATGGTCGCTGCACTCAGATAGATGAACGACCCCCAGCACCAGAAAGCTAGGCTGAAGGAAGCTGCGGGCTCCTGCGTGGCCGTGGCCGCTGCGAAGCGACGCATGTTGCAGACCGCAACCCCGGCGGCTCCGAGTCCCGCGCGGTGCGGCGGCCCCAGGAGAACATTCGAGGCAGCGGCGGCGTTGGAGGCCCGGGGTCCGTTCGGTATTTGAATAGCACAAAGGAACCGCCTTGGTCTTATTGGCCAGCCGAGTGGCCCCGGGGCGGGCAGCGCCTGTCACTCGGGAGGCTCTGAGCACTTCTATTGGCTCATCAGGTGTGAGGCGGGGCTCGGGTGCTCAGCTAAATAGCTGGGGCCGGGGCCGGCAGAGGCTCATTGCTTTGGCGCCGTCTGGGGAGCGCGAGCCCGCGGGTGGCGCGCAGCGCATGGTGGTGGCTCCTTTCGGAGCGCAGCCGACCCGCTGACCTGGGCTCCGTTCCCCTGCCCGGCGCGCCCGGGCGACCTTCTTGAGACAGAAACAGCAGCAGCATTAGCAGCAGCGGCGGCAGCTGCTTTGCCGCCGCCGTCTCCACGGGAGCATGGAGTGCGCCCTGGACGCCCAGAGCCTAATCAGCATCTCCCTGCGCAAGATCCACAGCTCCCGGACCCAGCGCGGCGGCATCAAGCTGCACAAGAACCTCCTGGTGTCCTACGTGCTCCGCAACGCGC